TACCTTAGGCCTTTTTAAGGAAGAAATGATAAAAGTAATTTTTAGAAATTGGGCCACTCGAAAGGAGTATTGAGGCCTCCAATAGAATGGACCCATGCGAATATCCAGAAACATACCCTCGAGTCCCGCTTTCCTCGGCGCCGATCACCTTGGGGCTACAAGTGAAAGAATGGACGTTTGAGCGACCACTCGGAGTTGAACCACATCGGTAAAAGCCAAAAAGGTGGAAGGCAGTGGAAGAACGTGCAATGCCATACATACCCTCCATATTTGGTTTCCCTCCCCTCGCCGACCACGCGCGGCCTGTCAAAGATGGAAAGAGTGGTGTAAGCAACATCTTACGATCCAAATGGCGCCATCACAAGTGACGATACCAAAGCGTGGAACGCAACAGGAGAACACGGATTACCTACCCTGCAACTCTGGTTTCCCGTTCCTCGCCGACCACACGCGGCCTTTCGAATCATGAATGTGAGTCCATACAAGCAATCGAATTCCACACTCGCAACAATCAACCTGGCCCACAAAAAGCAAAGAAAGAAAGCAAGGAAAGACTTACCCTCCATACCGACTCCCTAGTTCCCGTCCGTACTCCCTCTCCTCCCTTCCTTCTCTCCATGCTCTCCCGCGTTCGCCCCGTTCGCCACGTTCGCCACGTTCCCCAGCACCATAACCTTCAACCTCCTTCCCCTTCCCTTCCGTATACTTTTCGCCCACTCTCAACCCAGAAGGCCCAGCCTCAGCGATCGGTTCAGTTTTCGCGCTTTCCCTGCCACGCCCGCCGAGGAAGCTACGAGAACGGAAGGCTGCTGATCCTTCTTCGGCAAGATCAGCGAGGATGTCTTGGACGAGGTCGTTAAGTTCGTAGAGAAGCTCGCGGAAGTTGCTGCTGGTGATCAGGAGGCGGGCGATGGTGGTGAAGCTTGTCCCGGCTGATAGGGAAACCGGTTTATGAGTGTCGAGTATGGATATACCAGAAATGGCCAAATTTCAAGCGGAAAGAACAGCGCCGACTTGAAAAACGTAGTTAATTACCTTCGCCAGCTTTCTGTGGAGCCCTTCTGACACCTCCAAGGGCCTCCTGCCGGCTCACAGCTTGCTCTTTTGCGGGAAAGGATGCGATATGGTCAGCTCAAAATGCCATCAAACTGAATCAACATACCCATCCGGACTTTATAATATAAGGGAAAATTGCAACCTACCAGCTGCAGCAAGGGACGCGAGCCTCGAATGCCACACAAACTGTTGCAAGCTCTCATCCTCATTCTTCTCCAACAATACCGTCCGCAACGTAGAAATCAAATCCATCAAATCATCTTGGACCTTGATGCCGTCCCTACTGAGTGAACCCCGGTATCGTCCCATCGTCTTCGAGGTCTGGAAACGGCTCATCATCATATCCAACTGTTCGTTGGTCGGAAGCTTTCCCTCGAGCATGGCTTGCGCCGCGGCGAGGAACTTGAGACGACGGCGAACGGCTTTCTGCTTCACGTCCATGGTGGTGCGGTCGGTGATGTAGCGGGGGGAGGGAGCGTAGGATGGACGCTCGGCTTCCAGGTAGCTGCGCTGTTCGAGCTGGCGCAGCTGGGAACCAATTCCGCCAGGGAGAAGGGGGCGAGAGCGCTGGATATGGTAAACAAGAAATGGTAAATAAATGTCCATGTGGAGCGAAGGATGAAGAAACGCATGCTGGAAAGATCTGCGCATTCGATGATACATTACCCGCGCAGCATCCCTCTTCGATTCCTCAAAACGATAGAAAGTGCCTTGGTCGTAGTCGGGGGTCGGCATGGTGAATATTTACTGTTTGCTGTTTGTTGAGTTCAATCGGTCAATCGATGCGTCTGTTGCCAATGAGAAAGGTATCTGAACACCTGAAGTACAGCTCATGCAGCAAGAAATGTCGCTTTATAGAGCGAAAGGGAAAAACGACGGATGTCTCGAAAAGACACAAAGTTTGTTTGGGAAGATGCCATGTTACAAACACTGCATTATGACGGAATGATGATATCATGTCGCCTTTCACGGACGCGGGAGACGGTGTTCATGGTGCGCGCGCAAACTTTATTTCTATTTGTTTTATGTATCCCGAAGGAGAGCGGTTTGCCGTCGGAAAGGTGTCGGTAGCTGTTATACAAGATTGATAGGGCACTTTTCGAGGCCAATGTTCATTATTTGAATATGCAACTTGGTGATAAGTTCTGATCTTTCTGGATCAACCGTCGCATTTCAGCTGTGCAAGTGAACATAATGAATTTTCGTTGACATTAGCTTCTCTCCACGTTCACGTCCGAAATGAGCACGCCCATCCAGGATGAGTGGCAATGACCGGTCTCGAGCCGTTCCCCTTTCCCCTTTCCCCTTCACCCTGTTCACTTTCCACTCCCGTTTCATTTGATCTTTCGCTTGAGTCGGTTCAATCCAAATCTCTCACACACCCCTTCTCTACAAACCAAAGGCCGCAGCAGCAGCAGCAGCAGCCGCATCAACCAAACCCGACCCCTCCTCCTCCTCCTCCAACATCTCCTCCCCCCTCTCCCCACTCGGCAAAATATACTCCTCGACACTCAAATCCTCCCTCTCATCGCCCCTCTCATAGCCATACCCGTACGCCAAATCACCCGGGTGGTGACTACCACCCACACCACCCCCAGCACTCACACGACTCATACTATAGTTAGTCGAGGCACTGTTAAGGTTGGAAAATGTGAGGTTGTTGGGTGTGAGAGGGGAGGAGATTGAGATTGGGTTGGACATGGGTGAGCGGTCGTAGTTGTAGGAGGTATAGGATGTGGAGAGGAAGGGAAGGGGTTTGGGGCTTGCTGTTAGGATGTCGGGGAGCTGTATGAAATAGAAAATGAAAATGGCATGAATTTGTTAGTGAAAGTGAGATGGAATGACGATGGGTTCGTCAGGGAAGCTGACAAGTAATAACCGCTTCGCGGTAGTAATCAAACTCACCGCCTTCTCCTCCTTCTGCCTCTTCAACCTCGGAGATTTACTCGCTCTGCTCGCTCCGCTCGCACCGCTTCGCATCATCTTCTTTTTTTGAAACCCCTTCGATATCCCCGAAGTAATCTGAGACCCAACACTATTCATGCCGGATTCAATAGAAGACGCCACACTCTGAAAAGCGGATGTTGCAGTCGTATTTGTTGAAGTGATGGCAAGAGGAGGAGGCGGGATAGTAGTTGTTGTTGTTGATTTGACGGGGGTGTCCTTACTCTTGCTTCTCCTCCTACTCCCGGCTCTGCTTCTCCTCCTTGGTCTCCCTCCCTTCAAGCCTCTACCCCTCCTCTTCTTGTAAGCACACAAAAAGTAGACAAGAACAACAAGGACCGTAATCCCGACCAAGACTGTGATTAGGATAGTTGCGAGGAGGACTGGTTGTGTCATTTGATTCGAGTCTTCTTGGGTGGGGGCGGTTGCTGAGGAGGGAGGTGGCTGTTGTTGTTGTTGTTGGCGACGGCGTAACCTTGAAGAGTGAGGAGAGTCCATCATAATCGACGGGGGGGGTTCCATGATATGATGGAAGTCGGGGCGGTCCCTCCCCTTCGAATGCCCTTAGCAGCAGCAAGGACGGTCAGGGGGGTGATATCAGCAAGTGGTTTCAAGCATTGTTGGTATGAATTGTTGAGGTTGAGGTCGTTCTAGTAAAGTTTTTGGAGTAAAGAGTAAAGAGTAAGAAGAGTAAGTTGGGTTGTGAGTGGGAGGAGTTGGAGAGGAGAGGTTTTCAAAGAGCGACGGGCGCTTCCCCAAACAAGTAAAGAGGCTTGCACACACACACACACACAGTCTCCCATACAAACTCACAAGGGGGCAATGAACGCAATTCAAAAAACAATCAGGAAATGCAAAAGCGAAAGTGAAGACGAAAATGATGATTCAGCAGCGAGCAAGGAAGTCGGAATACAGAAGAGAGAGAGAGTATGCGGCGTTTGTTTGTTGAGGTTGTTTGCAGGTTTACGTTGGTTTGCAGGTTGCGATAAACAAGGATTTGCACGGACTTTCTTTCTGTTGTGAACACAAGGCACAAACCAACCAAATGGGATATCACGCGGACGGACGATAATAAAGACGGAAGCGGGAAATGAGAATGAGATACGTTGGATAGAGTATGGAGGCGCTGGGCTGGCAATGGTGTGAGGGTGAGGAAGGAATGAGGTATGAAGTTTGAAGTTTTAAGAACGCGCACAGACCCTCCTCTTTCCTTCTTCTCTTCTTCTTCTTCTTCAAGTCTTTTGTGAAGCAACCAGGTTCTTTCTTTCTTTCTATTTCCGCTGGTAGGTAGGTAGGTAGGTAGGTAGGTAAGTAGGTAGGTAGGTAGGTAGATCTTACTTACGGGCAACTCTTTTAGTTACCATGGTAAGTTATGGCGACTGCATTCCAATACCATGGTAAAATCCATCAAATCACGCTTCGCTTTCATATCAAAAGGAATTTTTACCAATCCCGGAAAACTCTAAAAAAGATTTCATATTCAAAAGATATTATTACCAAAACAAGGTAAACAAGGTCCAGCGCCCATGTCCCTGTGCATGCTCGCTCGCTGCTCGCAACCGAAAAGAGGTGTAAAAATTCTCAAAGTGGCAAGAGATCGAGGTGTTTGTTTGTTCGCCCGTTCATTCCTGCCTGCCTGCTTGCTTGCTTGCTTCAGATCAAACATCTCATCTCGAGCGCTCAACCTATTTAGACCTGAAATGTCTCTCCACGTCTCTCGTCTCTCGTCTCTCGTCTCTCGTCTCTCGTCTCTCCACGTCTTTCCTTCCTTTCCTGGCCCTCTTGCCTGCCCTCTTGCCTCCACAAAGCCTCCAAGCCAAAAATTCTTGGTGTGACCCTAATGTTCGGTGGGTAAGATTTCACTGTGAAAGTGGGTAAAAGCGGTGTACAGTTGAATCGGAACTACTGCATATGCATATCCATATTTTGCATATCCATACTTTGCTTTGTATTCTGCACGTAGAAGAAATAGTAAAAACGAATGGATAGAGCTGCGCACATGCTACGCCCTGGAATCGAACCAGGATCAACTCGGCCACAACGAGTTATGCTACCATTATACCAGCGTAGCTCGTCAATGCGATGGTCATCGTTTGAAAACTTCAGTTACTAGTGTACACGGTTAAGGCTTTTGGGAGTGCGTCGGAATTTAGGCGATAAAGGGGATGGCCTGCTTTATAGGCCTGAGAAGAGCTCTAAGTCACTCCACCATCCTCTGCCGCCGCTGAGCCCCTCTCCTTCGTATTGGTCTCCAACGTCCTTCTACGCCCTTGCACCCCTGTCCATTGTCCCGACCTGTCCTCTCATTTGTGTCCCAACTACACCCCCTTCGTCCGTCTTGCACCGTCGCCCGTCTGTTCGGTCATTTCCCGATCAGTAAGGTTGCAGTACCATTATACCTTTTGTGGTTTGTGGTTTCGATTTTCCTGTCTTTTTCTTTTCTTTTCTTTCTCTCTTCTTTTCTGCGTTTGTATGGGGAAGCTTGTGAGGAGGAGTTACTGACGAAGAGTTCGGAGATCATGTCAAAATGGATCTGAGTCAGACTCTCCTGGCCCAATTGGTGGTGAGCTTGGGCCTTCAAGTTGGAGGGTTCGCATTGAATTTCTCACATTCATATAACATTCTTCAAGTTGAACACCTTCCTTTTTTAGCTTCTTTGCAATTGGAGCTCCTCAATGAGGGAAATGCATCGTCCCCTTGAAGTTCTGAATCCGCTGCTCTAGGAGCTGCTTGTATATATGTACGCTTAGAGCCTCTCATAACCCCCGAAACTCGGGGAAATGGCGGAATTGGTGAAAGTTGAGCAACGCGCACCGCAACTGCTGTATGCCTTGCCTTTTTCTCGAGGACTGTTTTGAATGCTTTTTTGCTGCTGTCCAGTTTGAGAGCGGGGGAGGTGGTATAACAGATGGGGCCTAGTGAAGACCGAATCTACAAAGATTCAGCGAAGACCAAAGCTCCTCTGGATTTTCTTTGACAAACTAGAAAACGTTATTCACTTATGCACACGGCTACGGTCATAGCCCTTGGGAATGCGTCGAATCTTACAGGAAATGCTGCATATACATATTTTGAGACGAGGAAAAAAAAAGACAACACCAAGCGACAACGCGAATGCCATGCCCTGGAATTGAAAGGATCAATTCGGCCACACCGAGTTATGCGACCATTATACCAGCGTAGCTTGCCAAAATTCCGCTTTTTTTCATTATATTGTAGCAGAATGGTAAATGTCAATGATATCCCCTAATTTAGAAGTTGAAGTCCGTCCTTTGCGCACCAAGCTCAAATCTTTTGGTGTACCACTTCTCGGTATTTGTTGATGATTTCAAATTGAATTGAGACGTCCACTCACATATCAAATCACGTCTTCTTCAAAGCCGCTCAAAAGGCTTCGAATCCCGGACCGGTGCAAGATACGGAAGTTCCAACGGGAATTCTTGAGGGAGAGGACGGCGCGGGGTGCAGGGTTCGAAGTGGAAGTCGGTGAAGACCGTTGTGGAGAATGAAGGATGGAATTATCATACCCATGATTCGAGGCTTCCTTTCACATTCAAGGGTGAAAGATAGTTTAGTTTGACAGTTTATTTTTTTGATGATGTTTCGCTGTTCACACATTTTGTATTTTGTACCCTCACTTTTTCTCCCTCCCCCACACCTGCGCCCCAACCCCCTATAT